TCCATGGATGATGTGTCCATGAATGGAGATGTCTCCATGGATGATGTGTCCATGAATGGAGATGTCTCCATGGATGATGTGTCCATGGATGGAGATGTGTTTATGGATGGAGATGTGTCTATGGATGGAGATGTGTCCATGGATGGAGATTTTCCATGGATGGAGATGTGTCCATGGATGGAGATGTGTCCATGGATGGAGATTTTCCATGGATGAAGATGTGTCCATGGATGGAGATGTTTCCATGGATGATGTGCCCATGGATGATGTGTCCATGGATGGAGATGTGCCCATGGATGATGTGTCCATGGATGGAGATGTGTTTGGGCACCAATTCAGGGCCCTGAGTTTGGGGCAGAGGCCCAGCTGGTTTGCAGAGTTGTCTCTTAGGAACCTGTCCTTTGTGGCTGAGGATCCACTGACACCGGCAGCTTTTGGGAAGGGGTGTCCATGTCCAAGCCATCCCTTCCTCATGTTTTAGGACAGTCATACTCCTTGGTAATTGCTTTTTATTTCCTTCCAACATTTTTAGCCCCAAACATCAGTACAGCTTTTCCCTGGGCCAGACTTTCGAAGAGGTGCTGGTTTGACACAGAAGTCTCTTGAACTGTCTACAAAAGCCCATTTTACTTTCTGACCTGTCCTAAGAAGCCTCAAAAAGCACCTGATTTGTATTGTGGGTTTTTGGAAGGATTTTATGCCCTTTAAAGTGCAGTTTTTAGCTCACCTGACGTTTTTAACCCTCTCTCAGCTCTTCTTTCCTCCATGTTCCTCATGCACTAGTTTGCACTTTCTTATTTCTTCTTGGCTTTCCAACCTCCCTCAGTCCTTGGATATTATTTTTCAGGCTTCTCAATTTAGTGTCTTATTAATGTATCATTCACTCTCTCTCCCAGATGATTAATAAAGAGATTATATAAGGCTTGTGTGGCTTATATAGGCTTATATAAGGCTGATCCCTCTAGTATTCTTCTAGACAGCTCTCAGCTACACACTTTGATGTTTGGCCTGTGGTTTGTTTGTGTTTATTTTCTATATTTTTTTAGTTACCCTTCAATCTAGACCAGCTTAAATGGACTTTAAAGCAGAATTTTGTGGGAACCTGGCGTCAGATGTTTTAGTCAAATTATATCCGTGCCAAGCACGTGGAGGATTTTGTCATTCACAATAATAGAAGGAATAGAAGTTCACCAGCTTCCAGCTCGATGTTTTGTTTGCTTTGCGTTGTCCTTTAGAAAATCCTCACGTAATTTTTCCAGCAGCAAGTTAAAATCTGTGGTTCTGAGTGTTTCTCCAGTGCTGGCACAGCGTGGTGTGTTCTGCAAACTGCCTTGGGTGATGACATTTGCACTGGGAAACCTCAGGAAACTTGGTTGTCTGTCACTCAGATAAAAATGATTCAGTTTTGGGAGGTTGGCTTTTACAGTGTTTTATGATTTTTTTTTTTACTTTAGGGAAGTATAAAGTTGTCTTTTGGAGATCACACATGAGTGGAAAGCAAGGGCGGTGTTCCTGCACTGCACAGCCTGAACTGTGCCCAGCAGAGCTCCCCCCAGGCACCTTGTGGGTTTTAACTGGACAAAGATTTGATGTGGTGGTTTTCTGGTGACACTGTGTCTCCTGAGATGTGGCACTGCAGACATGCAGCAGCTGGCCCTGCTTGTCTCACCCTGTGCCCCAAGAGAGAGATCTGTTACCCTTGGGCTGAGTCCTGGTCCTGTTGATGGAGACAGAAGAGCAGCAACGGGTGTGGAGCATCTCTCGCTTCTCAAACGGTGTCTATCATGTGACAGGACATGAGGGACCATCCTGTGGCTTTCTTGGGTCTGAAGGAAGGTTCTTGGCGTCCAGAAGCCCCTTGTGGATGATAGTTGGGTAGAGAAACTGGACTGGGTGGGTGGTTGAGAAGAGGAATATCATGTAGGAAGAGCTACATCTCCCAGTGGTTTGTCTGACATCCTTCCCCTGAGCAAGAGGGGCGCAGCATTCTGAGCCATCCTCTCCTCCCCAGGCTGGGTGTAACTGGGTGATACAATGGGGTAAGGCAGGTAGCAGCTGGTTTTAGAGCAGGGATATGATAAATCTGAGGCTGAGCCTTCCTGTTTTATCTTTTCCAGAGGAGGTCATGCTGGCGGAGGAAGACAAGAACGCAGAAGAGAAATCTCCTCTGGACGGTAGGTCCCTTTGCTGTGCTGTTTTCCTCCTGTGATATGTGAGAGGTTCAGCTGCTGGACAGTGCCACGGCCTTCCACTGTGCCCAGGAGGGTGTGAGGAACACACTCTTGCATGCCCTTGGCAGAGATGGGGCTGCAGAGTCCCTTCGCCCTTATCGGGTGCTTTCGAGGTTGCAGGTGGATGATGAGCAGTTATGTGACACCGCCCTGGGGTGGGGATCTGCCCTTGGGGTCGGTCCCTACGCTGCCTGTGGGACCACAGGGACACCTGTCAGCCTGTCCAAGCGGGGCTGGCCGTGTCCCACCCCCAGGCCGTGGTGGGGCTTAGGCTGCAGAGCGGATGCCAGAGGAGGAACGCGCTGACCAGGAGAAGGCAGGGCTCCAAACCAAGGTTTTCCAAACGGATTTGACAAAGAGACTAAGACCCCTGTTAGCTGTAAGCAGTAAGACATAACAGGGTGTGGTGATCCTACCTTCCAACGTGCGACCCAGGCTGGAGGGACCAAGCCGAGCGAGGCCACAGGACCTGCCCTCCCTGTGCCTCCGAGAGCGATGAGCTCGTAGGAACGCGCCAGCCAGTCAAAGTTCAGTTAAAGATTCTTCCCTCTCCCTTTTCTGACCATCTTTCGTCCTCCCATGTCTCCTCCTCCTTTCCCCTCCCCCCTCCCTCTTCCCTCCTCTTTTTTTTTCTCCTCCCATTCACTGTCAGGGAGGGCCGCCTCGGAAGGGCCGATCCACCAAGGCACGGCACCGGCAGAGACTAGCAGCGGCAGCAGCTACAACAGTGAGTGGATTGCAAATCACCAGGGGCTCAGGCGGCACAGCGGGGCAGCCTCACCCCACAGCCCCCCGTGCCCAGGTCACCGGGGGTGTCTCCCGGGTGGTTTTGCACCCTGTGCTCCGGCTCCTTCGGGGCGGCGGGCGCCCGGCTGCTGGTCCGCCTTGGCCAGCCTGGTGACCTGCACCTGGGGAGGACTCGGGGATGGATGGAAGAGCTGGGGCTGCAGGAGGTCAGGGTTCAAGGTGTGCCTGGCCAGTCTTCGTGTGTGTGTGTGGGTCGTGTGCGCTGGGGGAGTTCGTCCAGCACGTGGGTGCAGCTCTTAGCCCTGAGCGTCTGGAAGAGTAGCCTGGAAAGCTGAGTGGTGTGAGCAAACTAGAGGTGGGGACAAGTCAAGACCCAGAGATATGAAGGCTCCTTCTATCCTGCTAAACTAAAGGAGCCCGGCAACATTCCCAACCTTGAAGCAACTGGTGTGGAGCAGCCCATGTCTATGCTGGTAAATCTTCTCAGTCTCCAAATCACAGGGCTGTTGCATGCAGGGTGCCTGTAGAGATGGCACACTGCTAAACACAAGTAGGAATTATCTGGGGAAGAAGATAAAGAAGCTGCTCAATTCATGCCAGGGAATGTTGTAAAATTTTACTCCCAGTGCAGGTTACGTTCCATTGCTGGGAATGGCCTGGACATGCTGGAGTGTACTGGGACAGATGGAGCCTGGAGGACCCAAAAGCTGTTATTGCTGGGACTGAGGATTCAGCCTAGAGCTGGGTGGGGAAGAAAGGTGCAAAAGTGGTTATTTGCCAAAAAAACCCCCTGGATCCAGATCACAGGCTCAGAGCATCCTCTTCTCCTCGAGCCTCTCCGAACCCGGGTGATGCTCTGGGTGTTTGGAAGCAACCAAAGAACCAACCCTTGCCTTGGCCGTGGAGGAAGCAGCACATCCATTTCTGTGTCAGGGAAATCCGAGTGAAGAGTGAGGGGATCTTCTCTAGGAGACTCCAGTGGCTCAGAGTGTGTGGGTTTGCTGTGTGTGCCTTCTGACCAGTCTGTATCACCACACCGTGGGGTGTCTTACTGCTGCTAGAAAATGGTGCTTAGTTACTGTATGTCTTGAACCTGTTACCAAACTGTATCAACATATCTTTTTCTGCCAGTTCTCGAGGTTCTGCAGGTAGGTGGTCATGGGACCAGCGTCCTCACTCTTCCTGCCTCACCCCTCGTGCACTGGGTGGACAGTGCAGAGCTCTCCGAGCCCTTTAGGCTGCTGGTCTCTTTCCCTGTCGGAATAAAACACTGTAGGGATGTCTGCCCTCCCCACAAAAGATGCTGTTGGGAGAACTGTGTCTTCAAAGAATTACAGCAGCCCCAGAGGGCAGGGATTGTACACTGGGTGCTATTAAGAGGCTGCTCCCTGATTTGTGGCAGTTGCCTCTCTCAGAGCATTTCTGCTCCTCCAGGCGCTGCTCGGTGCTTAAACCGAACCCGTGAATGCTGACTCCTTAATGGTGCCCACTGTAAACAGCATTAATGGCTTTAATGGATGGAAGCACTCATCTCCTCGCCCACTGGGGCTCACAAAGATCCAGTGACCCTGGCCAGCCTTTCTGCTGTGCTAAAAGCTCCAGCAGATGCAGTGACTCCCCACCCTCCTGCATCTGCTGGGGGCAGCGGGAGCGCCCAGCCCCGTTCCTGGCAGACCTTCAAGATCTGGAAGGTCAAACAGCTAAAGGACCCCGACACCGAAGCACTGGGCCCTGCAAGGTTGTAGGTTGTCCGGTTTGCTCCGGCTTGCCCTTGTGTGAGAACTCTAAGCTGGCATTGGGAAGGAAATGCTGGCCCTGGAGAGTGAAGGGAGGGGGAGAGAGAATCCACTCTGCATCCTCACGGGGCATTTTCTCTTTAATTTGCACACAGTGTTGAAAAGAGCCGCGATAAAGAAGAGCAAAAACGACCTGATTCATGCAGAAGAAGGTGAGGACCATTTCACAGACATTTGCTCCGTTGGTGAGTACCGGCTTCGCACTGCCCCAGGTTCAGATCTCCACCCAAACCTGTCCATGCCATCTTCCCTCTGAGAGGCTCCTTTGCTCCAGAAGCTGCGGTTTCAAGAAGGAGAAGTCCCCTCGACTTCCCAAAGCAAAGGGCTCCGCGGCTTCACCCTCTGCCCTGCGCTGCCTGGCTCAGCTCTTGCATGCTGCACCTTTCCAAGAGCCCTGCCCGGCGCTGGGAGAATCCCTGCTGTGCTGCCCATCCCGGGATTCTGCTTGGAGCACGCTTGTTCATGCTAATGAACCCCAAATCTGTCCAAGGACACTGCTAAGGCTCTTTGTTGGAGGAACTGGACACAGTCCCATCCGCCACCGATGCACAGGGGTGGGTTTGCAGTGTTTGCTGTGTGAGTTATTACTGGGAAACGCTGGGCAGTGGCCACAGTTCCCTCATTTTTGCCTTAGGAGAAGATCTTAAAGCAATTCTCTACGTTTTTCAAGCCAGATGTGGAGATACACACCAGTGTGCACCCAGTCACCCCCACACCTCCACTGCATCCTGCCCTGTGGGGCATTTGGGGGCTTCAGCTCTGCAGACCAGGACTACCAGACTGCTGCCTGTCCTGCAGTTCCTAGAGCTGATTCCCTCCTGAGACACAGCCAGGTGGAGAGGCAGGAGGCAAGTCTGGGGCTGGCAGGGCTTGGCAGGCTCTGAGCCCCCAGCCCCCAGCTCAGGGAGCTGTTTGGACACCAGCAGAGACACCTCTCAGCCATGGGTTGCTCCTCCCCGGCTGGGGGCACATCTCCTGCCTGCTCTGCACTTGGGTATTTTGCTTCTCCCTGGCCCTGTTGTTTGAGTCTGGACATGGTTTTGCTGCTGGAGCAGCAGATGTTCTCATTATCTTTCAAAGAAATACCCTGGCAGCCCAGTTCCCACCAAGCAGCAAATCCTGGGAGCGCAAGAGCAGCAGCACAAACAGTTCATTTCAGAGTCTGTGTCTGCAGAGTTCTGAAAGCTCGAGTGCCTCAACTGCCCTTTGGAAAGTTGGCATTAAGGTTTTAAGGGATTAGAGCTGATGCTGGGATTTTTTTTTCCCCTTTAAACCAAGACCTGGTTGCAGAAATTGAGTGTTGCTTGGCATGTTCCTGACACCATCACCCACAGTCCCCCAGGCTGCAGGTTTTGTGCCTAAACTGCTGACACTTCTGCGAGAGGCTCGTTGCTGAAAGAGGGCAAAAATGCAGCACCCGTGTGCATTTTTGGGTTGGTTCGGTTATTTTTTTTCCCCCAGGATCCCTGCATGGATAACAAGGAACAGTCATTTTTGGAACAGTTGTCCGTGGTTGCGATAATTATGAGCTCTTTGCATTCCCATCCAAGTCCCTCCAGGCTCTGGGCACCCATGCCACGCCAACAGATCTTGGAATTCAGGCATTTCAGGTGGCAACGGATGACGGAGCATCTGGGCTCGTGAATAATCTGCTGCAGAGCTGGGAACTGTCTCGGGAGCATATGGCAGGGAAAATAACAGCAGTGCTTCACCCACTTGGGAAAAGTGTTTTTGATTTTGATTCATGGAATGAGACAGAGAAGGAGAGATGGATGAAGCAGCTCCTTCGCGGGCTCCTGAAGGGGTTGAGGCTCTGCAGAACACAAACAATCACAGCATGTGGGCAATTACGCATAAAGAATATGGTTTTTGAGCAAAGGGGTTTTTTTGGCTGTTTTTCTGTGATGTCTTCTGGTGGGAGCAGAAGGAGAGTGGAAGAATTAACAGCATCATTCCTGAGTGCCAGGGGAAGGTGCAGACCAGGGGGAGAGGCTTTGACAGGGCTCTCTCTGCCCGTTGCCACTTGAATTCCAACACAAGCACCTCAATGAGCCTCATAATTGGACTATAAAACTCTGTAGTGCTGAACACTTCCCAATGTGCTCTCTGGAGCTGTTCTTAGCGTTTGTTCTTTTCTCTCCTCCCAACTCTCAGCCTCTCATTCCACACTAAGTGTGCAGCTGCTCTCTCTGCCTTCCCACCTTCCACACTGTCCCAGACACAGGACACTTGTCTGGATTCCCAGACAGCAAAGCCCAGAGAAGTGGATATTTTCTATGTTAGATCAGCTTAAATACAAACTGGTTTTCTCCTCTGAAAGATCAGTGGAGGAGATGAGACTATTCCTTTGCAAATCTGGGAGTACAGAGTGGCATGAATATCTGAGAGCTCTTTACCTGCTAAACAGTGCAGCCTAAATCCTAAACTGGAGCTCTTTTTGTTGTCTTAAAGCAATGGAGGAGCACTGTGATTTATTTTTTAAAGTGCCAAAGGCAGGATTAGCAAACTAACAGAACAGCAAAGAGTTTGTTCAGAGCCTGGCCAAGGCCAGCTCTGTGTGTTGGTGGGTGGCCAGAAATGGGCCATGGAGTGGAGAGCTCATGTTCCACTGGGGAGACATCATGCTCCTGTGGAGCTGTGAGGCTTGGAGAACCTGCTGCTGTCACATCTGGATGCTTCATCCTTTCTATGGGTGTTGTGTTTGATGTTATTGCAGCACGAAACAGGGTGAGATTCCCGCCCCTTCCAAGTGCTGAAATGTAGGTGCTCACACCCCAAGATTTGGCTGCTGCAGCCAGAACACTTTGTTCCTGTAGCTCAGCCATCTCCATGTAAATCATCTGCTTGGTCCAAGGCAGGCCCATGTGTCCTGCTCAGCCCTTCCTGCAGGGATGCTCCATCCCACGATGGAGGGAAGGGCATGGGGAAGGGCAATAGTGTATTATCCAGCCACAAATTGTCTTGAAAAAAGGTCCTGAGGGCCAGCAGTGTGACACAACTAGTGGACAGCAACAATCATGATTTTCCCTGCTTGTGGCCATTGCAGAGGAACCCCAATGGCTCCATGTGTTTATTCCCAACCTGTGCTGATTTCTCCTGCTCAGCACTGGCCAGAGGTTGCCCTTTCATCCTTCATTTGAACAGCAGAAAGAATTTCTTCCATCAGCTTCCTATTGTTGAAACATTTGGCTCTTTCCAGGGTTTCAGACCGGAGTGGAAATGCATCTGGTTTAGGCAGAATTGGTACAAATGAGTAGCTGCACTCAAAATCTGATGAAGGGAGGCAGATTGAGGCCTATGCTCAGGAAATACAAGCAGTTGGAGAATGAAATAAGGAGACTTCATTCCATTCAGCAGTAAGGGCTGGTCCTTGGAGCAGGGGAAAGAGGGACCAGCTTTCCTGCTGCCAGCTCCCAGCTCCATGAGGATGTGCTCCACACCACGGGCAGAACCACCACCGGGCCTGGTGCTTCCTGTCCTTCCAGCCCAAGTGATGAGTTTAACTGGGGCAATCGGGATTGTTCCAAAGGTTTGGAAGCCCAGTTTCTTTAGATGGCAGAGCTGGGCACTGATTCATTGACTCCTGGAGTTTTAAAACCCCAGCCTTCATCCCTCATGGCACCATCCCAAGCCAGATGCCCTCGCTCAGCCCATGGCCAGCGTGCCCAGCTTTCTGCTCAGCCGTGTTCCCGGTGCTTGGCAGAGGCTCTGTGTGCACAGGAGATGCCCTCCAGCCTTTTGCCTGCCAGGGTGGGGTGTGGTGACTCTTCTCTCTGTCCCAGGGTCTCCTTTTGCCCGCGCCAGTTTGAAGAGCGGGAAGAACGAGAGCTCGTCCTACTTCAGGAGGAAAGAGAAGATGTTCCGGTTCTTCATCCGGCGCATGGTGAAGGCTCAGAGCTTCTACTGGATTGTCCTGTGTGTGGTGGCCCTCAACACCCTCTGTGTGGCCATGGTGCACTATGACCAGCCGGAGAAGCTCACCACTGCTCTCTGTGAGTACTGGAAACTCCATCTTTCCCCTGAGGAAATCCACAGTTTTGGTGCTTGCGCACCCCCCAGGAGCTCTGGGGTTCAGCTTCCCGAGGGTCACCTCAGCACAGGCTTAGAAATGCTTTAGTCAGTGGTTCTAGTAACTCATAAGTCACAGAATCATGGAATGGTTTGGGTTGGAAGGGATCTTAAAGATCGTCTCATTCCAACCCATGGGCAGGGACACCTTCCACTAGCCCAGGTTGCTCCAAGCCCCGTCCAGCCTGGCCTTGGACACTTCCAGGGATCCAGAGGCAGCCACAACTTCTCAGGGCCCCATCACCCTCCCAGGGAAGAACTCCTTCCCAATATCCCATCCATCCCTGCCCTCTGGTAGTGGGAAGCCATTCCCCCTTGTCCTGTCACTCCAGGCCCTTGCAAATTGTCTCTCTCCATCTTTCTTTAGGCTCCCTTCAGATCCTGGAAAGCCTCAAATATGTCACTCCAAAGTTTCTCTTCTCCAGACTGAACAATCCCAATTCTTTCTCAAATCATATTTCCAGTCATTCAATCACACAATTCAGAAGAAATCCCCCAGGGCAGGGTGTTGGTTTGAGACAGGAACGATATCCCAAAGGTTATTTCAAACTTCAGACTCAACCAGAAGTAAATCCTGCAGGAAGAAGGATTTGTTCTGTGTCAGACAGAAAGGAGGGGGAGGGTTTTTTTCCCCTGGGGAAAGGCAGGTTGCTCTGCCCAACCTCTGTCTGCCCAGAGAACTGCAAATTGCTGCCACTTTGATCTGCCCCCGGGGGTGGTTCCTGTTGGGAACACAAAGCTCTGCCAGCTCTGGTGTCCCTGGGACAGAACTACGCCTCTGTCTGTGCTCATGGAACCCCACACTAATTCCCCACTGTTCAGTGATGACTGGCATGGTCTTTAAAAGGTTACAGCTTTATGGAAGATTCTTTTTTGTTGTGTGCCCTCCTCACCGATGGGGTGTGATTGGTGGGAGGGATGTCAGGGTGCCCTCTGTGAAAATAAGTGATGGAAATGACACCAGAGAGAAAATTATATTATATTTGTGCCACAGCTTTTATTTTCACCTGTGGTCACCTGCCAGTTTGGCTCAGGTAGTTTAGAAGTTCTTTTGAAAGGTGATTTTTGTGTTTTGAAAATTGCATCTCGCTTTTTCTCGTGATGAATAATAAATGGAGGCTTTCTGCCATCACAGCCTTTACACCTCCCAGTGCTCCCCTGGGGTCACAGCCTGGCTCACAAAACCTGATTTAAATAAATATGGAAGGTGGGGGATGGCGATTTTTGTGTATTTTGATGAAGGTTGTAGGGTAGGATTCCTAGAAAATTTAAACCCGAAAATTAAAACCTAAAAATTCACGGGCAAACTTGTAGAAATTCCTCAGGAGAGAACGTGGTGACCCTGAAAGTGAAACACTGAGAATTTTCCCTTCTGAAGGGAAGGGATGGGAGTTTATTTCTGGAAGTCAGAGCCATTTGTTTGGCCACTTCTGCCTCTGTAAAACGGCCAGGAACAAATCCTTTTGTTCAACACTTGATATTGAGATGGGACCAGATCAGAATTTGTGAAGTAAAACTTCTGAAACAAGAGAACAGAAGACTAGGAAAACCCCCCCAAATATTTCAAACAGTCTAATCATTTCAGCTTAGATCTTTAAAGATACTTATCTGCCTAATTTTCCTTGATTTCTGTCTAAATTAGAGACTTAAATATTTCCTGCCTCAGATCCTTGGGTCTTACCTTATTACAAGGAAGCAAACTTTTGAAGTTTTTTTTGTAATAGACCTAAAAGGTCAAGAATACCAACTGCTCTGACATCAAAAATGTCCTTATTAATATTTGTTGAAATATTTAATATCATCAGGTAAATGGAGCTATAATGAGAGATGCATAAGAAGGACAGGAACTTCTTTCAAGTCTGGGTTTGGCTTTTTTTTTTTTTTTGGCAAGATTTAAACTGAAAAGAGAGACAGACTATACAGAGAAGTCAGTCTTGCTTATTCATTACCTAAATTTAACAGAGGAATTAATAAGCCAGATTGGCAGAGTAATTAGAAATGTGAGGATTAGGATTTCCTCTTGAATTAGGCCTAAATGTCTAGAAAAAACCACACATACACTTGAAGTCTTTCAACTCCAAAAAAGAAGGCTTCAGATTTCCAGGACTCAGTTTTGGGAGCACCTCATGCAGTGACTTTTCTAAGAGAACACAAAGAGATCCATGAGCCAGCAAATTCTACTCCATGTTCCTGGGAGAGCTGGAAAGGAGCTTTCTGTCCATTAGAATTAAAGAGGCACCTCCAGGTGGGAAACTTATCTGGGCCAGAGGCCACAAATGAGGCTTCCGAGCTACAAAAACAGGGAAGGTTGAAATGGTGTCGTGCCTGGAATCAGGGATTGGGGTGGATGCCTTTTTTGGGAGCCCTGCAATGTCAATTAGTTCCAGAAACACTTGGGCAGCAAACTTTAATTTCTTGGTGTTGGAACATCACTGAGCTGAAAGTGAGGGATCCCACGGCCTTTTATTTAGTGGAAGAGTCAGAAAATCCCCAAAGAAACTTGGGATTTCTCGGGAGTTAAATCCTCAGCATCCCCCCAGCCAGAGGTGCTTCCTGTGGCTTGTCTTTGCACCACTGAGGGATGATTTCCTTGCAAGACCTGAGTGTCCTTTGCCAATAAGGAAACACCCAAATCAATCCCTTAAATTCACTAATAGAAATATCAGTGGCTGCAGATAAACAGTGATGGAACCACCACCGGAACTGGGGAGGGGCAGCACAGAGGGGGGTCACAGACAAAACCACAATATCCAAGGAATCAGAGGGTTTGTGGATGTTCTTGTACAGGTTTAAGTATTAAATAGGTCTTTAAATAGGGTGGTACAGGATTAGTCACTGTGACAGAGAGAATAAAGGCCAGAGATGAAAGAATGGTTTGAGTTGGAAAGGAACTTAAAGATCATCCAGTTCCACTGCCATGGGCTGGGACACCTTCCTCTAGCCCAGGATGCTCCAACCTGGCCTTGGACACTTCCAGGGATGTGGCAGCCACAGCTTCTCTGGGCAACCTGTGCCAGGACCTCACCACCCTCTGATTAAACAGTCTTTTCTTAATATCTTATTTAAATCTCCCCATGAATGGCCCCCCTGGAAATTCTAACGCACACCAGATAATTTTTGTTTGCTGTGTTTTGTTGTTGTTGTTGTTGTTGGGTTTTTTGTTTGTTTTGGTTTTTTTTTTTGGTTTTTTTTTTTTTTTTGCTTGTTTGGTTTGGGTTTTGTTTTTTAAGATAAGTTTTCTCCAAGATGAAGCAGAGACACTGTGGGTTCATTCTGGAGAGGATTGTCCCTGGTCTGCCTTATCCATAATGTAATGGAAACTGGGGGAAGAAACCTATTGTAATGTAATTCTAGAACTAAGAACTTTTCAGAATTGTCTGCTGAAATGGCCTCTAAGTCAAACCTCTTAAATTACAAGTGTCCTGTGCCTCCAAACCCTCCCAAATTTCAGGATGACGAGCTGAGGTTCTGCATTCAAGCCTGTCTTTGTATCAGTGATGACCTACAGCTTTCTATCCCATTTCCTGAGGGGAAGTTTTTGTAGCATCACCTTTCCTGTTCATCTCACCTTTAATATTGAATTCAGGGAATGTTTTATGCCTTCAGATGTGTGGGACTGGGCTGGTTGTTTTGTTACTGCAATGCTGGAGTTGGCTCCTCTCTCTCCTGCTGGAATAACTCTGCATCACACACACATTTTGAGGGAGCCCAGCTGGGGTTTAGCCCTCAAGGAGTTCTTGGAAACCCTGTTCTGCCTGAGATTTGTGCTCAGATCATCAGATATCAGCAGAACAAGGGGATTTTAAACAGCTCCCAGAAATACTCAGCAAAATCCTTTCGCTGTAAGAGTGACAGAGTTTAAAAATGGCTTTAAAGTTAATCCATGAGGAGAAAACTTCACTGCAGAGGAGCAGGACTTGGCTGGTCTGGTGGAGAGCAAGAGAGGAATAAATTCTAATTGTGTTGTTCCGTGGAAGGTGCTTAGAAATGAACTGAGGAGGCTTTTTGTGAAGGGCAGCAGCAGGAGAGGAGCGTGGTAAAGTCTGGGAGGATCCTCTAAATCCTGAAACTCTACCCAGGCACCTCTAATTCAATTATACCTGTCCCTCTGGGGAAAAGTTTAATTACATTACAAATTAATTTTACTTAAAGAACGGTTGGTAAAAGCCTCTGGGTCTTGCATTGATTTATTTTTCCCTTGGTCTTTTCTTTTAACTTTTCTGTTTTGAATTGTTCTGATTAGCTTTCCCTGCTTGATATTCCACATCACTACAACTGCTTTGGAAAAAGAGCTTTAGGAGCTTCAGAGAGAGGCTTGGGATTTCTTTGGTCTGCCTGAAAGAGCTGATGAGAAATTCTTTGAATTCTTGTGCTGTGATGGATAACAGGACATACTTTATGCCCTGTAATTATCCCCAAATTCGATCAGAGATTTTCCTTCTCTGGATGGAAAGGATTCCAGTGCCAAATAGGAATTCTCCCATGCTGCACATGGACACTGCTCACTGAAACAGGGACCTTGGGTTAAATAAGCTGCAGCTCCCTATAAAAGTATATTTTTCATGCAGCCACCCATGATTGTCATCCAGAGTGTCTCTTTTCTGATGAACACAATATTTGAAAACAGTTTTTTAGCCATTATGGCCTGGGAATGTCTTCCCTTGTTACACAAGATTAAACCATGTTTTTGGGCCAATTAGGTCTTTTTTGATTCCCTTCATGAAGCAACTCTCCTTTTTTTCCCCAAATAAAACTGCAGGGATCCTTAAGTGGCTCCCTAATTTATGTCAGTCTAAAACCAAAATCCACAACGTGCCTTTTCTGATAAACACACTATTTGAAAACAGTTTTTTACCCGTTATGGCCTGGGAATGCTTTCCCTTGCTATGCAAGACTGAACCATGTTTTTGGGCCAATTAGGTCTTTTTTGATGCCCTTCATGAAGCAACTCTCCTCTTTTTCTCCAACTAAAACTCAGGTATTCCTGATTGGCTCCCTAATTTATGTCTGTCTAAAACTAAAAGCCAGAATGAGTATTTTCTGATAAACACAATATTTGAAAACAGTTTTTTAGCCATTATGTTCTGAGAATGTCTTCCCTTGCTATGCAAAACTAAACCATGTCTTTGGGCCAATTAGGCCTTTTTTGATGCCCTTATGAAACAACTCCTTTCTTCTCCAGCTAATGCTGCAGGGATCCTTAACTGGCTCCTTAATTTATGTCTGTCTAAAACCAAAACCCAGAATGTGTCTTTTCTGCTAAACACAATATTTGCAAACAATATTTTAGCCATTATGGCCTGGGAACACCTTCCCTTGCCATGTAAGGCTGAACCACATGTTTAGGGCCAATTAGGCCTTTTTTGATGCTCTTCATGAAGCAACTCTCCTTTTTTTCCCCAACTAAAACTGCAGGGATCCTTAAGTGGCTCCTTAATTTATGTCTGTCTAAACCCAAAATCCAGAATGTGTCTTTTCTGCTAAACACAATATTTGCAAACACTTATGGCCCGAGAACACCTTGCCTTGCCAAAACCATGTGTTTGGGGCAACTGGGCCTTTCCTGATGCTGTGGTTGCCTTTGAAGCAGGTGACCAGCTCCCTCTGGATATCCCAATAGAGAATTTGTGAGGAAAAGGCTTTCTGAAGCATATTTATTTATGCCTGCTGAGCATTTCACATCTGCTTGGTCAAAGAGGAGGAAGTTGTGCTTTGAGGTTCTCCTGGTTGGTTTTATGTGTGAGGAGGATGAGGAGAGGAAACCAAAGTGTCAGGCTCAGCACCTGCTTCTAATGACATTGGACTTGGAGATGGGACAGAAATGGAATTAATCCCTGGGTGACTGACAAAAAGGAGCTGGGAACTGTCAAATTCAAACACGTGGGGTGATGGGATGTAACGTGTATTGGCCTTTGCCAATAGCACAAATCTGAAATTAAATTAGACTGTTTGTATCAAACTTTTCCTCCTTAAATCACATCACAAAATGCTTCTGCTTAAGGCAGATTGGATTACATGTGGGGTCTGAATACCAGGAGGTCCAAACAACAAAATTGCTTTTTCAATTACATGGGCAGGGCCATCTCAGAAGGAACTTTGTGTCTGATCCTTCTGCTGCAGCAGTTGATTCACTCAGCCAGTCCCTTCTGCCCGAGGAGTTCTCTGGGTCTGTGTTTTCCTTGCCTTCATCCCTTGGCCTCACTGGGCTGTGATTTGTAGCATCTGGTACCTGCTGAGATGCAGCTCCTGCTGCCAGTTCCGAGCTCTGATCCTGATGGGATCCATCAGCTGTGAAAGGACGAGTGGGGCTCTTTCAAGAGCAGCAGAAGGAAATTGCCTTTTGAGATGCTCTGAGTTTTAAACGTTTCCCCTTTTCTTAATTTTATTTCTTTTTAACATAACCAAAGATTTCTTGGCTCTGTTTTGTTTAGAAAGGCCATTTCCCAGCTCTTTTCTCCTCTGATATCCTGGTTTTGCACGTGTGTTTGCAGGGTGTGTCAGTCTGATGATGGAGCACTGCACTTGCTGATACCTGGTTTTATTCACCCTTCTGCTGGATGGGTGACTGACCATTAATCCTTGTTGCTTTTATCCTTTTGAAATGATGATAATTGTCTTGGCAAAGTGCACTGGGATCTGCCGGTGAGAATTACAGTTAAAAAACACTTACAAGGATTTTTGTTACTCTGTGGAAGAAAATGGGGTGGCCCTGACATGTAACTCTGCGAGGTGAGTTTGGTGGACAAAGAGGGTGAAAATGTCCTGCCAGACTGAGCCATGACACAGGTGGAGGCTGTGCTGTGCTTTCTGTAGGATCTACAACCTCTCCCTATGATTTTTTACCAGCTAATTAAACAAGGCCACTGACTTCAAAGCATTGGTTTGACACCAATCCTCGGGATAGGGAGACTTCCCATGGAAGTCATTCCAATGACACCATTGGACTTGCTGAGCTCTGCTGAGTGTGAAACCAGGGCCCCCCCCAGCTCTCCTGGAGCCCCTTTAGGCACTGGAAGGGGCTCTCAGCTCTCCCTGGAGCCTTCTCTTCTCCAGGTGAGCACCCCCAGCTCTCCCAGCCTGGCTCCAGAGGGGCTCCAGCCCCTGGAGCATCTCCGTGGCCTCCTCTGGATTTGCTCCAACAGCTCCACATCCTCCTGATGTTGGAGCCCAGGGCTGGGGGCAGCTCTGCAGGAGGGTTTTCACTGAGCAGAGAGATGGATAGTTGGATGGATTGCCAGCATAATTATGGATAATTCCCAACTCTGGGATCCCTTGTGTTGGAAACAACTGTTTTCTCACTGAGTTGTTGCAGCTGATGTCAGAAAGGAGAGGCAAGCTGGTGCAGGGGTGACCAGGCTTCTCCTGGCAGGTTCCAAGCTCAGAGTGAGATGGAGCTGTGCTGCTCCTCCATGTGACCATGAGACCCAGAGGATGGAGCTGCCTCTTGGCAGGAAAAAGGCTGAGAACTTTGCAGATCTCCTGCTTTGTCATCTTATTCCTCCAATGTGAACACACTGCCCTTAAATTCTCCTTTAATGACATTGCTCCTGCTTTCAAGGACAGGAGGTGACACAGTACAATTAATCCTCTCCTGGTATTTCCCCCCCTTGTGCAGATATTGGCAGAAATGTCCTTGCAGGCTCCTCACTAAGGTGTTAATAAAACCTTTCTCATGTCATTAAAGCTTCCTGGATTTCAGTTCACTTTATGCCCATGATATTCCAGGACTGTCTGTCATTTAAGATTTAACCCCCCTTTTTATTGGTTGCTGATTGAAGCTGTATTTTCCAAGTAATGTCCAAAGACACCCAGCAGTGCAAAACAGGCCCTGGGCCAACTGTGCTCACTCCACATGAACGTGGAGGGTGAGGGTGGAGGGAAATCCAGGCACTTTGGAAGGACCCTCATTCCCTCCTCACACTCATCAGCTGAAGCCACATGTTGCAGGAAGTCATGGAATGATAAAATCATGGAATGAAAAAATCATGGAATACTTTTGGTGGGATCCACAAGGATCATCCAGTCCAGCTCCTGGCCCTGCACAGACACCCCAACAATCCCACCCTGGCCCTCAGAGAGTTGTCCAGACCCTCCTGGAGCTCTGGCAGCCTTGGTGCTGTGCCCACTGCCCTGGGGAGCCTGGGCAGTGCCCAACCACCCTCTGGGGGAAGAACCTTTTCCCGAAATCCAGCCTAACCCTGCCCTGACACAGCTCCAGCCGTTCCCTGGGTCCTGTCCCTGCTCACAGGGATCGGAGCTGCCCCTCTGCTTCCCCACTTTACAAAGCCCTGGAATTCAGG